AATTTCACATATTTTCGGCAATGAACTATAGTATATCCAATTCTATACGTTCAGTTAATTTTGCTAAAGTATCATACATATTGGCCAATAAATACAAAAAAACCAACCCGAAATTAGGTATATAGTAGATTGGGGTTGTATTGCCCGATTTAATTATTTTGGCATTACTACATATTAATAACGGAAAATATACTCTTTGAATTTCATTAAGGCACCTCAGATATCATCACCAATATATTAGAGTAAGGTAAACCGGATGTTTGAAATCCATTATTAATTATATAGGGTCAAGGGCAGTTTTCACCCGCTTTTATTCATTAAAGGCACAAAGACACATCATTACTAGAAAAACACTTCCACTCGATTTTATTAAGTAACTCCCAGATTGGCTGATATATGCTATATATCTTTGTATTAGGTACATTGTATATGGAACCTAAGAGATGTACTGACCCTATTACACCTATTTTGACATACGAACATACTATTACTAGAAAAGGATTTTCTTCGAATTTCAGTTACATATATATCTCATACATTAACCGATGTTTTTAGTAAAAAGTCGGCCATAGGCACCGGGGTCCACATTTTCGGTGTTTTTGGACTCGAGATGGAATATCTTCAAGGCGTTATGTATGTAAAGTTATATCCCGATATATTAAAGCTGCTTTATTTGTATACTGGAAGGTGAACGAATCAGATCGAATTTAAAATTGTGTTATATGGGAAGTAGGTGTGGTTCATGTCCAAATTGGCCCATTTTCCATTGTAACATAGGAATGTAAAGATATTGTTACCTACCGAATTTGGTCGAGTATGTGTGTTCACTTTTGACACCGGCTCCTATAAACCCTCTTTTGCCACCTGGATATAAAATTATTGCCGTTACCTGTTATACCATATAGGTAGTGGGCAGGGTTATCATCCGATTTCACCTGTTTTCACACTGTCGTGAAAGGTGTCGAAAGGATTTGTCCTGTGCAAATTGTGATGATATAGCTCGAGTGGATTGAGAGACATTAAACTATTAGGAGGTAGGGTCACGCTCACATTTGCCTCTCACCTCTACTAAATTAGTTTTATATAATAACTTGCGTCTTAGTTATGGCATTTAAAGTTTTCGATTATTGACGTTTTGTGGGCGTAACTTGTCTTGTCATCCTGATCATTTATATACCTATATAAAATTACACACTCGTGCTCATATAATTAAGCCACTGCATGGCAAACTAACGTTTCACAATATAAAGTCCTCGAAATAGCTTTGCATTTGTATAAGGATATGGAAAAGGTTCGGTTATTTATGTCAAAATTGCAAAATTGAACAAATTTAGAGAATTAGTTGGCGAAAAATTTAAATTGTTTCGCCATGATTGATTATCCACCATGTTTTACTGTTTTATTTTGTATATCGTGGGTTTAATTCTTGTTGTGGTGGTCGCCTGACATAGAGTCCCATAATTGCTAAAGATGTTAAACTTTGATTCATCACTCTAAATCACTAGATACCAGAATTTTGAGTATTTTTGCTGGTGCTCTCTGCAAATGCTGGCCTTCGTTTGATGTTCTTCTTGGTACGTTCGGTTTCGGTCGTGCAATTCGCTCATTTAGGAAGTTTTCTGCAATCTATGGCGGACTATCTATGCTGATACACACACCTTGTTTATGCTTCATTTGGGCTCTAATTTCACGTGAAGTCAAATAGAATCCACCTGGGTCATTCGTACTATTTGCCTATCGTCATTAAATGTTGTATTTATCGGTTTTTACGGGCCAAATTGTCAATGATCTCATCTTTCCTAAAATATTGCATATTATTCTTAACCCTTCCAAAAAAAAGTCAAATATTCCGTTATTTTCGAAAAATTTGTACTTTTGGTAACATACCCATATGCTCTTATTTTTGACCATTATTTATAAAACTTTCAAAAACGTAATTAAATTAGTGCAGACAACACTTTCCCTTCCTTAATATTTTTTTTAATATAGATCGTTGCAATAACGACTTTTTTACAATGCCCTAATTATGTGATTACACGCGAAACAATTTTAATTTTTCGCCAACCACATTACTAGTTTCTCTGAATTTGTTCTTAGCAATTTCGACACAAATAACCGAACATTTTTCCATACCCCTATACAAATGCAAAGTTACTTCGAGGACTTTATATTGTGAAACGTTAGTTTGCCATGCAGTGACTTAATTATATGAGCACGAGTGTAACTCCATACCTATTACTAATAGTTTTTGGTGATATAAATAACTGTTAAAGAACAAAACTATTGTACTCTGTAGCAACATGTTGTATGAGTATAAAAATTATTTAGATTTAAATGTTTTGAACAGCTGTACATCATACGCATATATGTATGTACGTAAAAGTCGGCCGGCTTTCAAATTTTCAAGTACATCGGACTAAAATTTAGAATTTGAGAATTTAAAAGGTGCATTTAAAAATATATATACAGTTACATACCATATATTATTCGATGGTATACAATATTTTATGGAAGTTAAACCTAACCGATAATATTTTATATACGCTTCATTTGAAGATTTTGTATAATATTATAAAAGCTTTTGACAAATACCATAGACCGTACTCAAGTCTGACATAATTTGTTCTGGTTTTGGGTTGTTTTATTGGAAAATCGTTATTTGTAGGCTGACTATTTTAATGCATTACACAGCTCCACAAAAATATATCTCTTTTTGTTCTCTAGATATCTTAGCAAACTGTGATGGTTTCAATTTCCCAGATTACGAATTTATTCATGAGAATATTGAATGTGCTCTTGTTTTAATGATATTCACATTTCTTATATTTTAAGAAACTATATAGGCTTTTATTAATAAAATTTGTTTTTCAGTCTTAATTAGGGCTCTGCACACATTTTTCGCACATCAAATATAATATCATCTGCTCCCCTATCAGGCTCTTTAACGAAAATATGCGAAAAATTATGCGGAAGGTTCTCAGGTTTAATAATATAAATCAAGCGTGGAGATATCTAAACTATAGTCTACTAAATATAAGGTTTCAAATATCCCTTCCGCTTTTTGCTCTTCATTCAATGCTTTATAAAAGTGTTACAGTGATCGGATTTAGTTAAAATATGCGCCGTTTTGTTCGATGATCTGTTTCTATCTAGACGGCAACTTCATAATACCTTCCTCTGAGAAGCCCCTCCTTATTTGCGAAGAATTCGGACAGCCACTTTTCACTAGCCTCTTTTAGTTCAACTTCACACCACCAAGGGCATTCGCCATGGACAGGAACAGGTGGTAATCACTTGGCGCTACGTCCGGGCTATATGGTGGATGCGATAAAACCTCCCATCCGAGCTCCCGTAGCTTCTGACGAGTCATCAACGAAGTGTGTGGTCTGGCGTTGTCCTGGTGGAACATACACCCTTCCTGTTGGCCAATTCTGGACGCTTCTGGTCGATCGCCTGCTTCAAGCGGTCCAGTTGTTCGCAGTAGATGGTAGAATTAAGCGTCTGGCCATATGGGAGCAGCTCATAGTGGATGATTCCTTCCAATCCCACCAAACACACAGCAAAACCTTCCTGGCCGTCAATCCCGGCTTGGCCACTGTTTGGGACGATTCACCGGCCTTCGACCACGACCGTTTTCGCTTGATATTGTCGTATGTGATCCATTTTCGTCGCCAGTCACCATCCGCTTCAAGAATGGGACGAGTTCGTTCCGTTCAGCAGCATAGCACAGGCGTTGATTCGGTCCAGAAGGTTTTTTGCGTAAAATTGCGGCACCCAAACATCAAACTTTTTTGTATCCAGCCTTCTGCAGATGGTTCAAAATGGTTTGGTGACTAACTCCCATCTCCTGGGCGATGTCACGAGATGCCATATGCCGGTCTAACTCGATGTATTCCATGATTTGATCGGTATTTGTCGTCACAGGTCTTCCGCCGGCTGGCTTATCCATGGTGTCGTTTTCACCGGCTCTGAATCGTCGAAACCATTCCTCCGCGGTTCGAAGTGATAGAGTACCATCCCCCAAAACACCATTAATCTCACGGAACGTTTCTCTAGCGGATTTGCCTTTAACGAAGGAAAACTTTAAAATAGCGCGAATTTCGGCGTTAGTGAACTCCATGTTTACACGTCTATAACTGTTGAACGCAATATCCAAACTAATCATGCATAGCGTTGTTTTGTAGGTTATGTCAAAACCTTTCAAATTATGTATAGTGTTGCCAGATACGAGCTCTGTAGCGCTTTGTACATAGCCGCGAAATTCAAAAGACAAAAAAGCGGAAGGGAGATATTTGACAACCTTATATTTAGTTTTACTCAGTGAAAATTTTCCTTGGCGTTTCAAAAGTAGTTCGCATGCGCTCAGAAACAATGATGCCGCTAAATTCAATCATATTAGGAATTATAAAGCAGTTTGTCAAAGCTTTGAATATCGATTTAGTTACATTTGTAGAACATTTAAAAAGCTTAATTTGGAAAAGTCTAAAGGTGGACTATATGTTGGTTCTAAAATACAGCGATTCATGAAAGATAGAGATTTTATCAAGGTTATGACTGTTCCGGAAATCGAAGCTGGGAAAGGATTTTTTTGTGGTGGTCGAAGTTTTTCTGGGTAACCATAAAGTAAAAGCCAAATTATGTCAACTGGAAAATTCCAAAAGAAAAACTCATAAAGGCGTTTAATTGAGATATAACATATGTTTTCGACTTTTGTATCTCTGTTTACTTCAATGTATCCTTATTTTTCAAAACAAAACTAATATTATTAATATATCAGTGTTTTTATTTCACGATTTCTGGTTTTTAAAAGGTAAAATCAAAATATAGATTAAAAATAAACGAGAGAAAACTTACAAAATCATTGATAGTGTTATGAATTGGAAGAAAAAATATATCCAAAATCGATGTTATACAAGTATCTAGGGCAACAATACCACTGTAGATCAGTCTTATTAATTTACATATATATGGTTTATTATTTGTATAATATTTTGTTGCAGAATATTGGAAGCCGATTGATCACATCTTAGATTTCAATCTCAAGATTAATTTGCCAGTTGATTTAAAATTGCTTTTATATGCTTATAACAATGAAGATCCTATTCTAAAGCTGCTGCAACACATGGATGAGGTTTGCACCAACATACTTAAAGATGCCCGTAGCCTGTGGATATTAGTTTGCAGAGAGGAAGCTTCTTTGATAAGGTATTTGTGAACACATTTTTTTGCTAAATATAATAAGTTGGTTATTTTTTTCAGTTATTCAAATGGAGTGATTGTGCGAAAGTTTACATCCGAGGTTAAAGAAGTCACAGATTATTATCCGTACCTTAAAAAAACTGAGTTCCAGATAGAAGTAAATAATATTCGAACCTTGTCATTTAAAGATATTATATCTCCACCGTTGTATGCATTTTCTGAAGAGTTACAACTTTTACCCAGTGGTATAGATTTTCTCAAAGAATTTCTTAAGTCTCCCTGGCGATATTTAAAACCGTAATTTTTTTAACACTAATTAATTTATAATCATTTGATATAACTATATACTTCTTATTAAAGAAAAAAATTATATTAACTGAAAATCTGACTTTTCTTTTCCTTATGAGGTAGGTAGGCGGATGTTTTTGTTGTAGCGGCAGAATTTTGCCGAGTTAACAGTCCTTGGCCGGAATAAATCCGGGTCGGTTCCGGTCGTGGGAACGGTAGGTTACGGTAGGCGGATGTCTGATGACGCTCCTAGGCTTTTAGGAGGCTATATCCCTTCACACTATCCTTCCCATTCTGAACCCCTTCTGCTCTCTCCTAATGAAGTTCATGAATTTAAACAGTTTTATATGTGCAACTTGCGAACCATTGTCAAGTAAATCGCGACCGATAGTTGCGATTAATTTTCTATATATAATCGTAACAACAACAATAGTATTTTCCTTTATAAAGATTTGCATTTGCTTAGAAGATGTTCTACAGTATCTTCTTCCTCACCACGTTTATCTGCTTGTTGAACGAGTCAGGGAATGTTTCCACTGAAACTTAGTTATATAGAATTAATATTTTTTATACTCTCGCAACTTGTTGCTATACCTATCGGTGCTTTTGTTCACCTCTCGGTTATTTGTATCACCTATAACTAATCGAGTTAGATATAGGGTTATGTATATATAAATGATCAGGATGAAGAGACGAGTTGAAATCCGGGTGACTGTCTGTCCGTCCGTCTGTGCAAGCTGTAACTTGAGTAAAAATTGAGATATCTTTATGAAACTTGGTACAGATGTTTCTTGGGACCGTGAGACGGTTGGTATTGCAGATGGGCGTAATCGGACGACTGCCACGCCCACAAAACGCCATTAATAAAAAACAAATAAATTGCCATAACTAAGCTCCACAACAAGATACAAGACTCTTATTTGGTATACAGCATCACATAAGGAAGAGGCATCTGCAGTTTAATTTTTTTTATTAAACTTCCTAATAAGTTTAATGTGCTTATCTCCTATACCTCCAAAGCTATAATAACAAAATTCACTGGGAACAAATCATCTCTATCGACGGTGTGAAAATGGGTGAAATCGGGTGACAAGCCCGCCTACTCCCCATATAACTGTACTGTTAAAAACTACTAAAAGCGCGATAAATCAATCACTAAACTAGCCAGAGACATTAAATTTTATCTCTGGGATGGTATAAGATAATTTTATAGGAACCACGTTCAAAATTAAAATGTGGGCGTGCCACCGCCCACTTTTAGGTAAAAACCCATATCTTGGGATATACTTAACCGATTTCAACCAAATTCGTTACATAATATTCTTCTCATATTTCTATGTTCTAGTACTAAAATGGGCGAAATCGGATTACAACCACGCCTATTTCCCATATAACATCATTTTAAATTCCATCATATCGGCGTAAAACTTTGCGTGAATAATACGTTTAAAGTATGCCACCCTCTGACCAAAAATTATCTAAATTGAACCAAAACTGTTCAAGCCCCTAGGTAGTGAATATGTGGACCCCAGTGCCTGTAGTTGACATTTTACCGAAAATATCTCAAGAACAAGGCGGCAAGATCCACAAAGAAATCTAAAACGAGTATACCATTTGACTTTGCGAGAGTATAAAATGTTCGGTTACATCCATACTTAGCCCTTCCTTACTTGTTTTCGATTTAATTTGGTATATACAAGAAGCCAGAGGCATATACAGTGAAGCCACGAATTTAGCACACTCGTTTTGAAAGCAGAAAATCCGTTTATTTTGATTATTAGGGGAAAAATTTCAAACTTAAACATGGTTTTGAAATTATTATGTGAATGCATATTAACACGCTATTTTTAGTGTAGCATGATTTATTTTTCGGTCTACAATTTTGCTAAGTTCCTTCATTTTTTTTTTTGTTCCAAATGATGCTCGATGTCATTTCACAGATTCTCAATTGGATTGGGATCGGGATATTAAAACATAGATTTCTTTGTTTACTAATTAACTCTTCAGTTACGCATAAAAATCCACTTTAAAGGCATTGTGCCGTAAATTTTTACCATGGGGTCTAGGATTTTGGAATATCACCCAACTAGAAAATGTGCTAAATTCCTGTCAAGCTTTAAACCAGCACCAAACTCGCGTTTATTTTATAACTGTGTAAAAGTGTAATAAGTAACAGAATTCACACTTGTGAAAGTGCCAACTAGCTGCTGTGTTTTTTCTGGGATGTTTTAGGCCAGTGTAAAAAAATCCATATCTACTAAACATATTAAGGTGTGTGCTATATTCATGTCCACCACTGTATAGTCTCTCTTTCTCGGAGTCTAATTGCAGGGTGGTACTTGTTCTGCCTAGGTCATTTGCTTCACAGTTACCTGGAATATCACTGTGTCCTGGAACCCATTGTAGGTTTAATGTGAAGTAGGATATTAGATCCGCTAATAGATCGAGACATTCCTTCACTATCTTCGATGAAACCCTAAGAGATTTTAGTGATTTCAAAGCCGCTTGACCATTTGTGAATATAAATATATTTCTTGTTGTAGAGATACAATATAGGCTTGCTCAGCGACCTAAGGTTAATTGTGCCCTCCGCCCTGATGAACAGGTTCACATAGGTCCAGCACTCTGATAAAATCCAGGATCCTGCTTTGCGCTATTGAGGTGATGTGGTCCCTATTCGGATATAGTGATGCAAGAGTCTTGATCCTGCGTCTACAGACTGAGGAGTCTCCGGCTGCATGTCGTGCAAAACCGGCAGTTTGCATAAGATGCTATAACCATGTTGAACAGGGGTTTCTGTTCAGCCGTTCTCTATACTTTTGCACCAAAAGCTGTAATCTCGTAAGCTGAGATCACTTTCATTACGATAGTTGCATTGGAAATTTAAATGTATGGAAAGTTTGATCGTGTTCCTGCAATGCCCGCGCCAATACCTTCCGACGTTTTTGGGACATCAGTGTACAACTTAATACTGCTATCTCTTACTAGTAGGTCAAACATGCATGTTCTTCATTCAGCCCTATTGCCGAGGGTAACTTTAAATTTTGTGAAGTTTACCTTTTTGGTAATGCTGCCCTGCATTAGAAGACCCAATGGTATTTCATGAATTAAGGCCTTCGTTTGTTGAAACGAGATTAACTTCACTCTTGCATACCCTTCTGTCGACGTGTCCTTGCAGTCCACCAGCATCAGTCTTGGTCTGAAGTAGTCACCATGGAAGGATACGGAGTACCGATGCCCCCTGTAAATCTCATCCATGATTTGGTCCTGGAGATTGGTGTGCTCCTCCCACCTCAAAGTCTCAGCCGGATAGTTGAGAATCGCGGTGATGACGCGGTGCTAGCACTTCACTTTCGCTCTCTGCGGCAGAAGAAGCATGTGAACTGCTGCGCCCAACTTTTTTCAGAGAGAGCTTATCTGTCTCCTGTGGAGTTCTTTCCTGCTGGAGGTGCCTTAGATACCACTTCAGACTGGTACTACTCATACCCACCCTGCGAGGGTCAGCTGAGCCTACTGTGGAGGGAGTTGTCCTGAGGTTCCACTTCCTTTTCGGCCACTTCGCTTTCTTGTTGTAAGCACTTGTTGTAAGATTTGGCGTTTTTCTGAGGATGCACTGACACACATACTAGCTGCTTTCCATACGTCGAGTTACGCGAGGCGTTATTACCATTAGGCCACACCATCATTTTACTATAACAGGTATCAAGTGCTATAACTACTTTACCTTACTAGCTTAATTTCAAACCACTTTTAACAATACATATATCAACCATAAACTAAATTACTTTTTACCGTTGGAATATAAGATAAAATAATGTTTGCTTCCCTTTTAAACTGTTTTGATTTTGAAAAATACGACTAGTATGACTGGAAATTTATAATTATTGGTCCATACCGTTAGTTACTACAAGGTGCGTTCCAAAGTAAACAGTAAAAAACTAACAAACTAACAAACTAAACTCTAGTGGCGCCATCTATATGTCGACTAGTGCGTTAGAATCTGCTATCCTTTATCGACTTCCAGTAAAAATTTCATGACATATCATCTATTGGAAGTGAAGTATCGCGTTTTAAGTGTCACTATGTTTTTGTCATCGGTGCGAAAATGAGCTTCGAACAAAGAGCCAACATTAAATTTTGTTTTAAAATTGGTAAAACTTTTACCGAAACGTTTCAATTGATGAAACAAGTTTATGACTATGATTGCCTATCCCTTAGCAGAGTGCACGAGTGGTTTCAACGTTTTCAAAGTGGTCGTAAGGATATAAATGAGAAATGAGCCGAAACCCAAAAAATCGCGCCTGGAGAAGTCAAAAGTGAAGACAATGCTGATTTGTTTTTATGATTCCAAGGGTATTGTCCACAAAGGAATGGTTCCACCCGGCCAAAACGTTAATGCGGTATTCTACCTTGGAGTTTGAAGCGTTTGGTGCGCCGTATTCGACGTGTTCGGCTCGAATATCGCGAAGATGGAAGTTGGCGTTTGTTGCACGATAATGCGCCGTCTCATCGATCGATGCTTGTGGCTGATTATTTGACCAAAAATTACATTTTAACTATCAACCACTCCCCGTATGCACCTGATATGGCACCGTGCGACTTCTACCTTTTCGGAAAAATACATTTGCCGATGAAAGGAAAGCGTTATGCAGACGTGGAGGCCATTCAAAAGGCTTGCACCGGCATACTGGCTTCTATAGCGGACAACGAGTTAAAACACTCGTTCGACATGCTTTTGGACCGTGCAAAAGTTAAAGCAGAAGGATACTATTTTGAATAAAATTAATTGATTTTGTCGATAAAACCATTTGTTCTGTCTTTTTTTTAAAAGTCCTGTTTACTTTGGAACGCACCTTGTATACAACAACAAAACAAAAGTTATTAGACACTATTTTGTATATATATACAAATTACATCCGCTCATATATACTCGTAAATATGTATGTATAAGAAAGCCGTTTATGCAGAGGATAGTTCATGGGTTCGAAAATAGTGTGAATGCTTTGCAGTTAGATTTATTACGCCACACAAATAGCACCTATGTATACATGTAATTACTAGAAGATCCGGCCACGCGTT